GTCAGAGGGGATGAGGTGAGTGAGGATTTCCTATCACATGCAAAGTCTGGCTGGCTGGATGGCTCAGAGAGTAAAGGCACTCACAGCCAAACCCTGAGATCAATTCCTGAACCCCACATGGTGGCAGAAGAAAAGTGGCTCCTAGAAGCTGTCCCCCAACCCCCACATGGGCACCATGGCATGTGCACACACAGGCACACACACAAGTAAGCAAATGTAAGAAAAAATTCAATTACTTTTTAAAAAAATTGTAAGGGGTCATGAACACACATAGCAATTGACAGTAGTCGCTCTGTCTCTCTTTTTAAAATAGTATCTCATATAGCACAAGCTATCTCCAACTTGTTATATAATCAAGGGTGACCTCTAACTTCTCACCCTCCCATTTCTGGAGAGCTGGGATTACAGGATGCTTACCACTCTGGTTTTACTCGGTGCGTATATGGTGCATATACAAGACAAGAACGCTACCATATGAGCTATGTCCCTAGCCCCAGTCCCCCTCTTTGAAATCAGGTTTCCTAGTGTCCAGCCAGCTCTTGATCTTGTCACCCTCCTGCCTCTGCTTCCTGAGTGCTGGGATTACAACTGTGTGTCCCCACATCCAGGGTTCAGAATCCCTTAAAGAGTAAAATGAATGCATGTATCCTGGAGGAATGATATGTAAAAATTTTCCAAATGAGACTCTCTCTGTAAAGTGATTAGACCCCAAGGGAAGAAAGGAAATCAGCGACATCAATCCTAACTTCATCTAAAATTCCAATTTTTTCTCATCTTGGAGACTTTGCATTTGTTTTGATTTTTTTAAATACTGTTTGAAAATGTTGTATATCTGGAGCGTTAAGTTTTTGATGTTTACTTCAATGTGCCCCCTAGGCTATCAGGGCCTCACATCCTCAAGGCCTAGGAAACACACAAAGCAGAGGTGTCCCTGAGAGTCCTTGGCTGCCTAGGGACAGCAATAGACATCAAGACAGGAAATGCCAGTGCTCACGTACGAGGCCCCCACCACGGCCAACCCCAGGTCTCTGGCAGCCTGGAGCAAGTGTCCGCATGCCTCCAACGGAGCACCAAACTTGTCGTTCAGCGGGAAGCTGCTTTGACTCTTCTGGATCTGTATTCGGAGGACCAACCTGGAAGAGGAAGGAGGAGGAGGGTGGCATGGGTACACAGGAACCCCGAGGGGTACACAGGAACCCCCAGGCCCTCCAGCCTTCCTACCCATCCCTGCCTAGTTGCTCCCAACTACCTAGCATGGAGACCAAGGAGTGGACACATGCTATTTACAGAATTTTGCCTGGCAAAAGCAAGTAGGGTAGAATCACAATTAAACTTTCTAAAGAATCTGAGATATAGGCTGGGTGGTGGTGGCTCATGCTGCTAATCACAGCTCTCAGGAAGTAGAGGTATGCAGGACTTTGAGTTCAAGGCCAGTCTGGTCTACAGAGTGAGTTCCAGGGTAGCCAGGGCAACACAGAGAAACCCTGTCTTGAAAAACCAGAGATGTCACACAACTTTCCTAAGATCACACAGCATATGGCTAATGAATCTGAAATGTGAGCCTTGGTATGACTCGAGAATAAGTACTTTTTCTATGGCATCATGGATGCCAGACCTTCTCATGCCAAGCTCTGTCCAGTGCCGGTACAGAGATAAGTCGTTTGGTACTGATGTGCTCCCGAGAAGGCACTGGCCTCCTGACTGAACCTTTGTGGCTGCCATCTGGCCCTCTGGTTGCCCAGAGGTTTTCTCGGGGCCGCCTTCTGCCTGGTTGCTGAGGTCCAGATCCATCTGTTGGAGTCCCTTGGCCCACGTTCCCGGTGTACCTCTGCCATCTCACCTAGCCCCAGGGTGGTGCTGGGCCACCTTAGCCAGTTCCTCCTCACTGTCGAAGGTCAGAAGCTGCACCCCGGAGCGGGCTGCGTACCGGATGTGGGAGACGGCCTTGCAGGGGTTGGCGAAGATGATTCGTGAGGGGGCCACGCCCAAGCCCAGCACCTGCTCCAGCTCCCCCTAGCGTGGGTGAAGGCCAGAATTGGAGCTGCTCTGTTGTTCCTGCCTTCCCTGACTCTTCGGGGACAGGACCTTAGCCTGAACTAGTGGGAATACCTTCAAATGAATCCCAGGTCCCTTACTGGGAGAGCATCAGGTCCCCAAGAAACCTCCAGATAAGTCTCACTCAGTACCTGAGGCCCCTCCCAGCATTCCTCACCCTGACCCCTACCCTGAACCTCTCCCACCCGGGGCTGGGATTCGCTTCCCTTCTCCAACCTCTGGTTCCTTTGATTCAGGCATTTTGTCTGTGACCTCCTCTTCTCTCTCTTCTCTTCCTCTAACCCTCACCCCTCACCCCTTCTCCTGGTCCAGTCTGTTCTGCTGGCCATGTTCTTCCAGATGCCCCTGGCTGTTCCCCTCTTCATGTCTACAATAAAACCTTCTCCTCAACCATACCTAGGAGCCGTCATGTCCTCGTTTTTTTATTCAGTATTGGTTCCATTTTAAACAGGGAGAAACTGAGGCTCAGAAGGGTGGCTGCCTGTGCCAGGAAGTGACCCGGTTCCCTAGTTCAGGTTACCTGGTCTTGTCACATAGCCAAGTGCAAGGCTGACCACAGCAATTTGCTCATTTATTCATTTAAAAGCATCCAAGGGACCAGGCTACCGCTCAGTTGCTAGAGTGCTAGTGTAGCATGCACAAAGTCCTGGGGCCACTCAGCACCGAGTAAACTGGTGGCCTGTGCCCATAGGAAGGTAGAGGTGGGAAGACCAGAAGTTCGAGGTCACCTTTGGCTGTGTAGTGAATTCTAAGCCGGCCCGGACTACATTAGACTCAGAACAAATCAAAACCATCAGTGGAACAACAACAAGTCTTGCGCCTTCAACCTGCCAGCCGCCATCTTGGGGACCACAGTCCCCATCCCTGATCTCCTGACCATTGGGCAGTGTTTCTCCAGAAGGTGATAGGCCCATGGAGAGGCGATTGGCAAGCTGGCACAGTCTCACCTGACTGGCACAGTCAAAGCCAGTGCCCAGGGCAGCCAAGACTCTCAGCACCCAGGGCCTACTGTTGCACTTCACTGCGTAGAAGGGCTGGACTTGGGGCAGGGCCTGGAGGAAGGTCTGATGGCGGCCGACCAGTGCATCCAGGTCAAGCACCATGAAGGGGTCTTGGCAGCCCTGTTAGGACAAGAACAGGAGAGGGAAGTGGGGGAGGGCTAGGTCCTGGAGTCCTCTTCGCTCTATGACAAAAGCATTATAGTTCCTCTAATTTTCCTTTCCTCTCCTTCCATTTCACTTTGTGGGGTGTTTGTTTGTTTGTTTGTTTGTTTGTTTTTTGAGGCAGGGTTTCTCTGTGTAGCCTGGCTGTCCTGAAACTTGCTCTGTAGACCAGGCTGGCCTCAAACTCACCACTGACTGGTATTTCTCCCTTTTCAAGGGTCAGGGAAAACAAAGACTTAGTTAAAAAAAAAAAAAAGTAAGGTCACACAGTAAGAATATGACAGAGAGGATTTGATTTTTTAAATTTAATTTTGTCTTTTGAGACAGGGTCTATGTAGCTCTATCTGTCCTAGACTTGCTGTGTAGTCCAGGCTGGCCTCCAACTTAGAGATCAACCTGCCTCTGCCTTCTGAGTTCCGGGATTAAAGAAGTGCACCACCATATATGGCAAAGAAAGGATTTGAACTGGTCTTTTTATCTCTTAAAAGAAGTGCAGGGAGGCAACTATCTGTAGACTAAAGCCAGAGACAGATGGCTTCAGTCCCTGGCAATGACTTGGTTGAGGGCAAACCTGGGTGCCAAGGAAGGGAACATAAATGACAGCAGAGCTTGCTCAGAACCCCAGCACAGGCCCTGGGAGAGCCTGGTCTGATGACCTCCAAACTGTAAATGGGAAGCCTTCTTGGGTGCCAGCAATGGAAGGGGTGGGGCTCACCCTGCCTCCTTACCTTGATGGTGAGTTCCTGGATCTTCCTCGGGACCAGCTGCCAGGCAGATCCCTCTTGTTCCAGGATGATGGGCTCTGATGGCAACAGGCTTCCCACAGCTCCCAGCTGTTCCTTTGGGTTCCCAGGGTGGGTGTTCATCCCTGAGACTCCAGTTGAGGTGTTCTCTTGGCACAGTTCTGGCATTCTAGAAAGGACAGCTCTGTGGATCCTGTCTCTTGCAGTCATTGAAGCCTGAACCCCATTCATCTCCAAGAACCCCACCATGCCCTGTGATATTTTCCATCTTTACAGCAGGCTGCAGATGGCATGTGGCCTGAGCCATGGATGCAGGTGATAAGCAGGGCACAGTGGTCATCCCTCAGAAGGGAATCCAGCCTCCTTCCCACACGCTCCACATTCAAGAGGGACTCAGTAGAGCGTCCCAACTGTATGTCATAGGACATTAGAAGTGAGACCTTGACCACTATCACCAGGAAAGAAAGGGACTTGCCTCAGGTTGGGTGACCACCTGCATCCCCTGGAACAACTAGAGATCCCTCAGACTAAAGTGGAGTCACCGGCATCCAGAGGGCATCTGGTGCACAGCAGGGACTGCATCCATGACCCTTCCACACGTGACTCACCTTGCGGCCATGATGACCGTTTTCCTGAAGTACAGCACGGAGAGCTGGGGAGATGGGAAAATGCCTGTGGGGAAATCTGGTTCCAACAAGATCTCAGGGTGCAGGAAGCCTTCACCAAACCTCCAGGAGAGATCACACCTCCCAAGGTGCGCCCACTGGCAGGTGTTCAGAGATGGGAGCACCTGCCAAAAGCAAGCACTTTCAGAGGCAGGAGAGCCCAGAAACCCTTTCACCTCTCGCCCTCCTCCCCAGAGGTGTCCAGATCACTCCACGGAGGGGGTGCGTCTGGGAGCAGAATCCACAGCTAATCAGGTGGCCCTGCAGGCTGGAGCATGCGCTGGGCTCTCCTGGCGCCTCTTGCTCTCTGCTGCCAATTTAACTGGTGAGCCCATCTGTGCTACTCCATCTTGCCCCACCCTCCCTGTCCTTGCCCTCCCTCTCTGTGAGAGCCTCTAAGGACTCTCTGTGACCTGATGACCCTCCCAGGATGGAACCATCACCTTGGAGCAGGACCAACTCTAGGATGTCATCTGTCACTTTTTGAAGGCTTATACCACCACCTTCAAGCTACAACCCAAGTAAGTCCAATATTATTTCAGTAAATGATGGCTATGCTCCTCTTGACTCTAACCTCACTTCCTGGGCAGAGTGGGTACACCAGGGACTAGGTCTTCCTATGACAGGAGAGCTAGAGACATGGTCTGTCTTAACCTAGAAATAAACCTACTCATTAGTCCCTTCCTACAACCTGCCTCCTGCCTGCAGTCCCTCTGTGGTCCTCCCTCCCCAGGATAGCAGATGGCAAAGCCTGCCTTCCCACTCTAAAAATGTAGCCATGGGTGCATCAGTTGACTGTTCTGAGCTTCAGTTTCTTCATCTGGAAAATGGGACCTCAGGGGGCAAGAGGCAGAATGTGAAATAAGAAGCAATGCAAGGCCTTGCTGCCACTGCTGTAGAAAGCTTTGCTTGAGTGGAACACACACACACACACACACACACACACACACACACGTACACACGCGCACATACACGCACACATGCATGCACACACGTGTCTTTTGAGGTCTCAGAGTCTCCTGTGTTGATTAAAATGAGAACAGAGTAGAAACAGTGTGTTTCGCCCAGCCCACAGGACCCGGCATCCTGCAAGGACCATGGGGAAGAACAATGGTCCAGAGACAGACTCTGAGCAGGAGGCTTCAGCGACTCACCAACAAGAACAGGCTCCAGAGCAAACTGGATGGTAGAAAGAAGAGCTGGTGTCAAAAAAATTCAATGTGAAAATGTTCAGAGAGTTAAATATGCGTTACATGTTTGGTGTTTTGCCTCCGTGTATGTCTATGCAACATGTGCATGCTTGGTGCCCACAAAGGTCAGAAGAGGGCCCTGGATGCCCTAGAGCCAGAAGAACACATGGTTGTCAGCCACCATGTAGATGGTGAGAATGGAACCTGAGTCCTCTGAAAGATCCGTCCGTGCTCTTAGCCACTGAGCCATTTCTCCAGCCTCTACATATGTGTTCTTTAAAAAGCCATAAAGCATACTCAAGAGAGCAGAAGGAAATAACATATCTATAGGGGATGACCTTTTAAGCTCACATACGATCAGAGGACGCTGTAAGGGTTGGATTACATCAATTCATGAATAATGCAATTTCACAATAATAAAGCCCAGTGCTTCTTGGCATCACAGGATCTGGGAGTTGGTTCTCACCTAGCTTTGACTTGATGGTGGTATGAATTAAGTAGGTGTGCCTTTGATTTATGGATGTATTATTTTGATATCTGAGATCTAAGGTCCCATAGCTTCTTGGCTTTTGGGTGGAGGGTAAACGTAGTATTGAATCTTTCTGTAAAAGATGTGGGTTTTTAAAAAGATTTTATTTATTATGTACACAGTGTTCTGCCTGAATATATGCCTGTAGGACAGAAGTGGGCACCAGATCTCATTTCAGATGATTGTGAGCCACCATATGGTTGCTGGGAATCAAACTCAGGACCTCTGTAAGATCAACTAGTGTTCTTAACCACTGAGCCATTTCTCATTTCTCCAACCCCAAAAGATGTGTTTTATTTATTTAAATGTGTGTGTGTGATAGTATATGCACATGTGTGTGTGCTTGGGTGCACATGCCTGTACAGGTGTGAGGTTCTGTGAAAGCAAAGAAGCCAGATGATGTTGGATCCCTTGGAGTAGGAGTTACAGGCATTTACAGGATGCTTGGCTCATTACATGGGTGCTCAGATTTGAAGTCCAGTCCTTGTGATTGCACAGCAAATATTCTTAACTTCTGACCCATCATTCTACCCCCTAATGTTGAATCTTAGACACCAAGAAGCACTGGATATTGCCAGGTGCCTAATAGCAGCTGGCCAGCAGGTCCCTTGTTCATTAGACAGGGTCAAGGTGTTCCTGTGGGCTCAGGAGAGGGATCTGGTGATCCTCCAGCTGAGAACCTCCAGCCCTTTCCTCTCCCATCAGGGGCCAAAGCTCCCAGGCTCCCAGGGACTCAGAAGTTCAAGTAAGGATAGCAGGAGGAGCCTGGAGTCAAAGGAGGATGTTTAGTGAATCAAGAGAAGATCCCTTAGCTACCAGGGCCTCCTGAATTCCACTGCCAAACCATGGAGAAGCCAAGTAAGACCTCCAGCTTGTGGTTCCAAGCAAAAAGGTGAAAAGGCCCTTGTTTCCATGAGACACCATCCTCTCCTACCAGATGACTCTGGAAAAGCCTATCTCTACCTTCGTACCTTCCCAGCTAGACCAGACCATGGGGAGTTGCTTTTGTCCCCAAAGCCTCAGTTTCATCATCTTAGGAAGGTCCTGAGGATGGGTTGGGAGGAGATGGGTTGGGATGAGATGGGATGGAATAGGGTGGGGTGGAACGGGATGGGATGGTGTAAGATAAGATCGGAGGGGAGGGAAGAAGGTGGGATGAGATGGGTGGGATGGGGTGAGATGACATGGAATGACATGAAATGACACAATGTGACAGGTGACAGAAGGTCTCACCTGTGAGTTCAGTTAAGTGCCTGGTTCTACTAATAACCAGGACAATGAAGTTGATGGCAACAGTAGCAATGGCTTTTAAGAACCATCAGTTCACCCTTTCTTTGTCGGAACTTTTAATCCTTTAGGTTTTCATTTTACTTCGGGGGTGCGGTCCCCAGAATCCCAGGGTCTCCCACCTGCTAGGCAAACACTTCATCATTGAGCTACACTTCCAGCCCAAAACTTTGTTTGATTTTAATCGACACATAAACAATTATTTATGGAGTACAGTGTCATTTTTCATTAATGTAAATACCACAGAATAATAAACCTGGAGTCATTAGCATGTCCCTCACATTAAATGGTTACTGCTGCTTTGTGATGAGAACAATTCAAATAGCCTCTTTAGCTGTTTTATTCCCTAACTTTATTGTCATGGTGTGTGTGTGTGTGTGTGCATTGTGTATGTGTGTGCAGGCATCTATGTGCCACAGCACTCCGGTGCAGCTGGAAGATAACTTTCAGAAGTGGGTTTCCTGCGAGATTAGAGTCAGGTTCTCATGCTTGCACTGCAAACATTTCTCCCCACTGAGCCGTTTTGTCTGCCCTCTTTCAGCTGTTTAAAAATACATGGTTTAAAGTACATTCTTAACTTTATGACTGGGGTGTGTAGCTCAGCTGGTAGAAAAGTTGCTGGGGTTTGACACCTGGAGCTGCGTAAACCAAGCATCATGATGCATGCCTTAAATCCCAGCACTTGGGAGGCAGAGGCAGATGGATCTCTATGAATTCGAGGCCAGCTTGGTCTACAGAGCTAGTTCCAGGCTAACTAGGGCTACATAGAAAGATCTTGTCTCAAAAAAAAAAAAAGAAAGAAAGAAAGAAAGAAAGAAAAAAATAAGAAAATTTAAAGACAAAACAAAACAAACAAACAAGAAGAACCTCAAGTGATGGGGGAAGTCCTGTGTATATGTCAATAAAGCACTGCTGGCCAATAGGGAAGCAAGATAGGTGGGACTAGGAGTCCAAGAGGACTCTAGGTAGAAGAAACACAGGAAGTCAAGATGTAACTGCCATAGGGATAAGAAGCCCGGAAACTTTGCTCCGGTAAGAGAAATACTTAGATTAACAATTATGGGGTAAATACTTAAGTCAGAGCTAGCCAGTAAGAAACAAGCAAGGCCAACAGCTTCATAATTAATATAGCCTCCTGTGTGTTTATTTGGGACTTATGTGGCTCTGGAACCAGGCTGGCGGGAAGGTTTCTCTTTACACTCAAGAGTCAAAGACCAGCCCAGATTACATGAGACCCCCCCCCCATCTCAAAACAGACAAACAAAAGCGCTCTGAAGCCCGGGGTAACAGCCTTCTGTGCAGTTGTAGTTGGTCCTCGCTGCCCCAAGTCACCCCTTTCCTCACCACCCACCCCAATGTCCCCATCCTCACCTATGTTCTGGGAACTTCTGCTCCATTCTATATCTTCATAAGCCTGACTCTTAGATTCCACAGATAAGCAAGATCGAGTGATAGGCACGCCTCTAGACTTGGCTTATTCCACTTAGCAAGGCTCATCCATGCTGTTGCAATTGACAGAACTTTACAATTAAAACAGGGAACACAAAACAGGCTCTATGGTGTTTGTTTGATTGTTTTTGTGGGGGTTTGGGGAGGTAAATTTTGTCTTACTGATTTTTTGTTTTGTTTTGAGAGAGAGAACATGAAGTTGGGTGGACAGAGAGGCTCTGGAAAAGTTTGAGAAGCAAAGCTTATGATCAAAATATAGCGTAGGGGAAATTTTATAATATAAGTAAATAAAACTGTATGTAGTTGCATACATGTTTACATGTGTGTATATGCATTATCTGGAGGCCTGAAGTTGACATCAAGTATTTTCCTCAATTGCCGTCCACTCTTGATTTCACTTAGGTAGGGTCTCTTGCTGAGCCTGGAGTTCTGGCTACCAATATGCCCACAACCTACTTTACCTTTACCTCCCAAGCAATGGGGTTGCAGGTGGCCATCATGTCTGCCTGACTTTTTTGTTTGGTTGGTTGGTTTTGGTTTCTTTGAGACAGGGTTTCTCTGTGTAGCCCTGGCTGTCCTGGAACTCATTCTGTAGACCAGGCTGACCTCCCCTCACAGAGATCCTTCTGCTTCTGGCTCCTGAGTGCTGGGATTAAAGGAGTCCGCCACCATCGCCCCACCTGCCTGACTTTCAGATGGGTTCTGAAGATCTGAACTCTTATCCCCATGCTGTGCAGTGAGTGCTTTACCTAATGAGTTGTCTCCCCCTCCTCTTAAAACACATTTAAAGCAACTCATCAATGTAAGACAGAAGAGATATTCACAGTAAAAATCAATGGCTGAGAGAAATAAAACGAAAGATAAAGGCACAGCTTACCGCTTTCCCAGGACGTACACACCAAATGCTCTATCTGGGTGACTATGGAGTCTCCATAGGAACACAGTGAGGCAGGGTCTGTCTGGGACCAGCTACATGGCTGAGAGGACTCAGAGCATTGGCAAAAAGTAATGTCTAATAAATATATAACCACCTTTGCAGCACACTAGCTTAGCACCTGGATAGACAGTAAGCAAGAGTCTCCTTGTGAGTCCCCTGCTCAATACTCTGTGATGCTGCCAACATGGGCAGGACAGCTGTCACCTGGCACTGCCCAGAGAATCTGTGGAGCCCCAGCATCTTGGCCTCAGAGAGATGGATGGAGTTGAGCTAATCCAGGCCCTTACTTGGACTGTTTCTCTTGGACCTGGAATTTATCCATTAAGCTAGGCTGGCTGACCAGTGAGCCTCATGGGCCTCCAATCTCTGTATTCCCAGAACTGAGATTACAAACACACACCACTATCTCTGGCCCCCACGGAACCGTTATTCTTTAGAGTAGGATTGTAAATCATTAGGACCACTTTGAAAACATGTGTTGGTAATACCCACAAATTAAATGCACACACACCCTACAGTTTAAGAACTCTACTTCTACCTTTAGTCCCAGAACTCGGGAGCAGAGGCAGACAGATCTCTGAGTTTGAGGCCAGCCTGGGCTACAGAGCAAGTTACAGGACAGCCAAAGCTACACAGAGCTGAAGTTCCTCTCTCTCTCTCTCTCTCTCTCTCTCTCTCTCTCTCTCTCTCTCTCTCTCTCTCTCTCTCTCTCTCTCTCTCTCTCTCTCTCTCTCTCTCTCTCTCTCTCATACACACACACACATACACACACACACACACACACAAAAACACAAAACCTAAAATAAAAATTAAAAAAGAACTCAACTTCAGAGCAGATGTCTGTAAGAAATAAGTGTATGTGTCTATCAAAAATATGCATCAGATGTTCATCTATAGGAGGGACATTTGTAATACCTCAAAGTAAAAACCAGCCAAAAATCCATGAGTAGTAGAATTTATAAGAAAATTATAGTCTATTCTATGGACTAATACACAGGAATGAGAAGGAACAAGCTAGTGCTAAATGTAAAAAACATGAGTGAATCTTGGACATAATTTTGAGTTAAAGTAGCCAGACTCACTACTACTACTACTACTACTACTACTACTACTACTAATGCTAATAATAATAATAATATCTGCCATACACATATACTTGCTATAATACTTTATGATTTCACATGCTGGGTAAACACTCTACCAGTGGCTGAAATTACCAGTCCTTAATTTAAAGATTTTTAT